CTGCTCAATAAATGTGAAACCGAGTTGCGACAACCCCCGTTCGAAAGGGCCTTCTGATAACAAAACTCTTTAGCAGTGGCGATATTTGAATTGATCGAATTGAATTGATTTTTCAAAATTACCAAATCCAAATGAACATAAACATTCCAAGCAGAATGAGTCATGAACACATCGTTTGCTTTCTCAAAAAATATTCCTGGTGAAGAGTGAAAATGCATGATATCATACGACTTCTGTTTTACAGGTGCTTGATGTGTCATAGTCGCACATAATGCCAAAATTGTGGTCAAAATTGGTAACACACCAAACGATCTTTTCTTGGGAATAATTCTAATGCAATTTGACCTGAGTACTTTCTTTTTTTCTTCAGGTAAATCAGAATTATTGTATGGAAGTGAACACAATTTAGCAATTGGTCTTTTGAGTTGTCCGTCCTTCGTTTTCAGAGTGACAACTCTGACTAAACCATCTTCTCCAGGATGCACATCAGTTACTCTTCCAGTTTTCCACTGCGTGGGTGGAAGATTTTCATCGCGAATAAGACACATATCATTCACTCGTAATGAATTTTCACGATTAAACCACTTCGATTTGACCTGCAATTGGTTCAAATAATCCGATTGCCATCTCTTCCAAAAATGTTGAGCCATTTGCTGAACTTTCTGCCAGCGTGTCAACCAACCTGCTTTAGTCTCGAGATGACATTGCTCGGGTGGTGATATTAAAGATTCACCGACCAAAAAATGTGCTGGTGTAAGAACACCGACGTCATTAGGATCCGAAGAAAACGAGCACAGAGGACGTGAATTGACACACGCCTCGATCTGAGCTAACAAAGTGCTGAGCTCTTCAAAAGTCAGTTTCGCATCAGTTAATATTTTTTTAAGGTGTAATTTAACTGATTTAACGGCAGCTTCTGCTAAACCGTTAAAATGTGGCGCACCCGGTGGACTGAAATGCCAACGTGTTCCATTTTTCGCAAGTTCTTCACAAACCGCAGAATCATAATGCGCATCAATGGAATCCAAATTTTCCATCAAAATTTTGTTCGAACTTACAAAATTCGTTCCGTTGTCGCTGAACAAATCTCGAACAACACCTCTTCGTGAAACAAATCGTCTAAAAGATGCTATAAAAGCATCGGCAGTCAAATCAGTGACTGCCTCAATATGGATGGCTTTTGTTGCCATGCATACAAAAATGGCCACATAAGCTTTATGAGTTTTATAACCCCGACCACTCAACAATTTTATCAACACTGCTCCAGTGTAATCAACGGCTGTGCTTGTGAATGGTTTCTGACCAGGTGTGATACGTGCGGCTGGTAAATCACCCATGAACTGAGTCAAGGATTTTGGGTTTACCTTGAAGCATTTGACGCAACGATGAAGAACGGATTTAATCGTGCTATAACTTTGCGTTACCCAAAACTTCTGTCTAAAAACGGACTCAGTAAGCTTTGGCGCACCATGAAGACATCTTTCATGACAATCCTTAATGATCAAAGCTGTAATCGAATGATGTTTCGGAAGCAAAATCTGATGTTTCGCTTCGAAAGGCATATTTGCATTTCTTAAACGACCACCCACCCTTAAAATACCAGCTTCATCCACAAACGGACTAAGAGATAGAAAGGCGTTTGAACGTGGCAATTTATTATGTTGCTTTCCTTGAAGACATTTTTTCTCCAACTCAAAACATTCATTCTGCATCACCCTAACAATTGCTAACTCAGATTTACTTAATTCGTCTGATTTAAGAACACCTGAATTAAAAGATGTTTTCTTGCATTTAAGCGAAAAACGAAAACAATAAGCTATAATTCGTTTCAATTTATTGAAACATGAAACATCAGGCAATGAAAAAACGTTTTGGCGAGACTTATCAACTACCAACTCTAAACCAGCATGAATGTCAACGGCTGGTTTATACCGTGGTGGTTCCAATGATTCATCCACCAAAAATTGTGGCCCATGCCACCATAAATGATGATTGACCAATTCAGAAGGTGAAATACCCCTGGACGCACAATCTGCAGGATTTTGTTCCGAGCGAACATGCGACCAACACTGACGATCAACAAGTTTGTTTATTTTTGTGATTCTGGAGGCGATAAAAATCTTATATCGTTTTGGATTTGCATGAATCCAATCCAAAACTATCTTGGAATCAGACCATAAACAAACACGAGAAAACTCAATGTCCATTTTCTCAAGTATTTTTTTTGTCAACTGTGCGAGCAATAAAGCACCGCATAATTCGAGTCGTGGAATTGTCAAATTATCACTGTTTTTTGCCTCTTTGATTGGCGTAACACGCGTCTTTGAAAACAAAAAATGCGCAGTTCTTTTTGACACATTCTTTATGAAGATTACGGCTGCATCACAAAAACCATGCAATTCAATTATATCTAATGGAATGTAATCAATCCAACGTGAAATGCTAAAATTTGAAATTAAATGAAATTCAGACTTCAATTTAATCCATCTATCCACAAACTCACTTGGAACGGGATCATCCCAATTCAACTTTTCAGCCCACAATTCTTGAAAAATGTGTTTTCCAACGACTATTACTGGACTGATAAAACCCAAAGGATCTGTAAGTGACGCGATTTCCGATGCCAATTGACGTTTAGTTGTTGGTCTTGAAAAAGCATCAACTGTAATGTCAAATAACAGTTTGTCTTCTTTTGTGCACCAAGACACACCCAGAGCTCTAATAATGTCATTAACTGACTGTAGTTCTTGTTTTTCGGATGGAACGCGAGACAATAATTCATTCGAATTAGACGACCATTTTCGCAAATTAAGACAAGCAGAAGAAGTGAGTCCGATCAATTCATCATAAAGAATCTGGGCCTTTTCCAAACTATCTGCGCCCGAAAGAACGTCATCAACATAAAAATCTTGTTGCATAACTTCTGATGCCAACGGAAAAGCAGTCGCACCGTCAATCGAAAGCTGTTTTAATGTTCTAATCGCCAAGAAAGGAGCATTGGCTGTACCATACGTGACAGTCCGTAATTCAAACTCTTTGATTGAAGCACGAGGTGATTCACGCCAAAGAATGCGTTGCAAATGAGTTTGAGAATCATTGACCAAAATTTGGCGGTACATTTTCTCAAGATCAGCAGTAAATGCCACTCTATGTTTGCGCCATCGCATCAAAATTGACACCATATCGTTTTGATCCATTGGACCAAGAGCTAATTGTTCATTAAGGCTTTTTCCATTTGAAGTGGTCTGTGAAGCATTAAATACAACCCGAAGTTTGGTTGTTGTGCTTTCCTTAAGAACACAATGATGCGGTAAATAATACGAATCTGGATGATAATTTTTTACTTCACGCATGTGACCAGCACTGATGTATTCGTTCAAAAATTCCGAATACCGAATCTTCAAATCTGGTTTTGAAATGAAACGACGTTCCAAAGAAAGAAGAGATGCAATAGCGATTCGTCTTGAATCACCAAGATCAGGTTTTTCTAGACCATTTTTGAATGGTAAAGAGACAACAAATCTACCATTTTCATCACGAAAATGAGTCCTTGTATAATGATCTTCACACATTGATTCTTCCTCAGTGAGGGATAAAGCATCAACCTCAACAAATTCTTCATTGTTAAAAAATTTACTGAGCTTATCATCCAATTCTACATTTGTGATCATAGAAAGTATTTGAGGTGAAGGAGACACTTTACTCGTAGCACCAGAAACAATCCAACCAAATTCGGTATTTTGTGCTATTAAATTCTGTTCTGATTTAATGAGACCACTTTTGATTGCCTGAGCATACTCAGCTGCTCCCAAAATTATGTCAATTTCGGATTCGCGCAGAAAAGAGGGATCTGCCAACAAAATACCATTAACAAAATCAAAATCATCTTCAGCAAAAGAATCATTGGTTTTTTTTGTTAATGTTGGTAAAACAATGGCTTCTGAAGTCATGATAAAATCAGACTCAAAACGAGGAGAAATATCCAACATAATCGCTGATTTTGAAACCTGAATTGTTGCCCCTATTCCGGAAACGGTTGCATAAATACGTTTTCTTCGAAGTTTGAGATTCTGTGCAGCTGTTTCTGAAATGAACGCACTTTGTGATCCCTGATCCAACAAGGCACGGAGCAAAATAGGCAAACGATTTTTATCCAACACTGCAATCATTGCAGTTGCAAGCAAAACTGTCCCATCTGAATAAGCTGCATGATTAGCCTGAACATGAATTGGCTTACCAAATGCAATTGAAGCCAAATTGCTTTTGAAATTTCTGATCTCCAAATGAAGCAACGTATGATGATGTTTTTTACAAATTCTGCATGTAAATTTGCTTTTACAGTCATGAGTACGATGTGTAGAAGACAAACAATTAGCACAAAGCTTTTTGTTTTTAACCCAATCTACACGAGATTGAACTTCTTCTTTTTTAAATGCCTGACAATCAACAATAGCATGATTAGCCTCACAAAAAAGACATTTCTTTTTAAATGATGAGTCAACCGATTTATAATTGGTTTTATCAAATTTGTTGTGTGCCGTCTCAAATTTCGAATTCGTTGATTCGCATTTGCCAGCCGCTTGAAGGGCCATAAAACGATTTTCAATATAAAATAAAAAACTTTGCAGTGATTGCAAATCTCTATTGTTTTGCAATTGACACTCATAGTGAATGAGCGTCGAAACATCTAATTTTTTTGTCAAAATGTGTATTATCAAATGATCTAACAATTGAGAATCTGTAATTCCCAAATTTCGAATTGCCATCAAAGATTCAAAAACCGTGTCATGCATTGCTTTTAATGAATCTGAATTTTCATGTTTGTTTTTGTTTAAATTAAATATTTTGTCAAGTAAGTTACTAACAACCTCACGGTTGTTGTCATAACGTTTACGAAGCAATGAATAACAGGTTTCATAATTTTCGGCAATTGGGTCAAGATGACCAATAAGTCTTGCTGCAGCGTTTTTGACACATGTTTTCAAATACTCAATTTTCATTTCCGTGTCCAACTTATCGTTATTGTGAACGATCTTATCAAAAAGCGCTATAAAGCTTTTCCAGTCTTCTGGCTTACCAGAAAATTCTGGTAGTTTAATTGACGGCAATAAAAATTGAGCATTTGAAGAAAGCGATGAATTTGATTTCAAAAGATCGTTCAACTTACCCATTAACTCCATATAAATTTGAAAAAATTCATTATAGTCGAAGTCAATCTCTTCCCCCACACTTTTCCGGATGAACACCAATTTCCTTAATTCACCAAAACCAATTGATATATTCTCGATGTGAGCCTTTACAAGACCCTTTGATGAATCTGGTCGTAAAATACGTGCTGATGAAAAGAGTTCCAAAAGTTCGCCGCGTTGTAACATTAAAATATCATTTGCAGAATTTTTGCTGATATTATTGTTGACGAGTTGAATGTTGGGTTCAATACCGTCAATTGAATTTTCAAACGAATCATTTCTATTTTCAAAGGTAGAATCAAGATCGTCGATATTAACTATTGCAGACGGTAGAACAACAGTATCATCGGTTTTTTTTGGATTTTCAACCGATGGTTTCTCATTTTGAACGTCTTTTGAACCACCTGCGCTGCATTGAATAACTTTTAAACGTTCATAAATGTCGATCATAACGGAATCAAAACATTGTTTAATTTTTTCAAATGTCTTTTCACTGAAATATGGTTGATTCTCGTCGTAAAATGATTGCAACTTTTTATTATTTTCACTAATTACGCGAAATAATTCATTGAATGTAAGCACTTTGTCATCCAAATATTTTTTCGTTTTTCTTTGCGGACCGTCGGCTTTATAGTTCCTAATCAATCGGTTTAACTCGCTTATTTCAGCCGATTGCTGCACTAAAATGTCTTGAGCCATCTTAAAAGTTCAATAAATGACACAAAAACACGGTACACACGCAAATATTGTCTAACGGTTTTGATTAAAATTTTTTTTATTTATTGTGTTTATTACACAACGTCGGCGCTGATCAATAAATAATACACCGCAAAACACAAAAAATTTGCTGATTTTATCACAATTCCACTCTTGAGTTCAGACACCAATTACAAAATGTAGCGTCGAAAAAGAAATGTTATATGTGATTTATGCACAATTGCACTTTGTTCAAACGCTAAAAATGCAGCGTCGAAAAATGTTGAATATGCAATTCAAACGTAGGTCAAGAACAAACGTTGACCAATTTTAAAATACACTGTATTTTGGCTAATTCACTGATTTCTACAAAGAAAATCACCTTTGAATTTTTGTCTAAATGTTTAACGCACTGATTTCTATAAAGAAAATCACTTTGAAAATTTACAATTTTGACTAAGGTTGGCCAGACCTGATTGTTTGTTCGTAGATTGTAGAGAGTGATCAATTCTTACATATCAAACGATTCGAAGGACCAAATGTAACGGTGAAGAATAAAAGACTAACGTTCAAAGTTACTGTTGT